AAAAATGATAAAGGGGATTATCACCACTGATCCCACAGAAATATGAACTACCACTTGAGAATACTATAAAGACTTCTACCCAAATAAACTAGAAAATCTAGAAGAAATGGATAAATTCCTGGACACATACTCCCTCCCAAGACTAAACCAAGAAGGAATTGAATCCCTGAATAGACCAGTAACAAGTTCTGAAGTTGAGGCAGCAATTAATAGCCTATCAACCAAAAAAAAAAAAAAAAAAAAAAACCCAGAACCAGACAGATTCACAGTCAAATTCTACCAGAAGTGCAAAGAAGAGCTGGTATCATTCCTTCTGAAATGATTCCAAACAATAAAAAAACCGGTACTGCTCTCTAACTTATTTTATGAGGCCAGCATCATCCTAATACCTAAATCTGGCAGAGACACAACAAGAAAAGAAAATTTCAGGCCAATATCCCTAAGGAACTTCGATGCGAAAATCCTCGATAAAATACTGGCAAACTGAATCCAACAGCACATCAAAAAGCTTACTCACCACGATCAAGTCGGCTCCATCTCTGGGAAGCAAGGCTGGTTCAACGTACACAAATGAATAAATGTAATCCGTCACTTAAACAACGAATGACAAAAACCACATTATTACCTCAGTAGATGCGGAAAAGGCCTTCGATAAAATTCAACACCGCTTTATGCTAAAAACTCTCAATAAACTAGATATTGATGGAACATATCTCAAAATAATAAGGACTATTTATGACAGACCCACAGCCAATATCATACCGAATGGGCAAAAGCTGGAAGCATTCCCTTTGAAAACTGACACAAGACAAGGATGCCCTCTCTCACCACTAGTATTTAACATAGTATTGGAAGTTCTGGTCAAGGCAATCATGCAACAGAAATAAATAAAGAGTATTCAAGTAGGAAGAGAGGAAGTCAAATTGTCTGTTTGCAGATGACATGATTATATATTTAGAAAACCCTATCATCTCATCCCAAAATCTTCTTAAGCTGATAAGAAACTTCAGCAAAGTCTCAGGATACAAAATAAATGTGCAAAAATCACAAGCATTCCTATACTTCAATAATAGAGAGCCAAATCATGAGTGAACTCCCATTCACAATTGCTACAAAGAGAATTAAATACCTAGAAATACAACTTACAAGGGATGTAAAGGACCTCTTCAAGGAGAACTACAAACCACTGCTCAAGGAAATAAGAGAGGACACGAACAAATGGAAAAATATTTCAGGCTCATGGATAGGAAGAATCAATATTGTGAAAATGGCTATACTGCCCAAAGTAATTTATAGATTCAATGCTATCTCCATCAAGCTACCATTGACTTTCTTTACAGAATTAGAAAAAAACTACTTTAAATTTCCTATGGAACCAAAAAAGAGCTTGTATAGCTAAGACAGTCCTAAACAAAAAGAACAAAACTAAAGGCATCACACTACCTGACTTCAAACTATACTACAAGGCTACGGTAACCAAAACAGCATGGCACTGATGCCAAAACAGATATATAGACCAATGGAATAGAACAGAGGACTCAGAAATAATGCCACACATCTACAACTATCTGATCTTTGACAAACTTGATAAAAACAAGCAATGGGGAAAGAATTTCCTGTTTAGTAAATGGTGTTGGGAAAACTGGTTTGCCATGTGCAGAAAACTGAAACTGGATCCCTTTGTTAATCTTATACAAAAATTAACTCAAGATGGATTAAAGACTTAAATGTAAGACCTAAAACCATAAAAATCCTAGAAGAAAACCTAGGCAATACCATTCAGGACATAAGCATGGGTAAAGACTTCATAACCGAAACGCAAAAGCAATGGCAACAAAAGCCAAAATTGACAAATGGCATTGAATTAAACTAAAGAGCTTCTGCGCAGCAAAAGAAACTGTCATCAGAGCAAACAAGCAACCTACAGAATTGGAGAAATGTTTTGCAGTCTATCCATCTGACAAAGGGCTAATATCCAGAATCTACAAAGAATTTAAACAAATTTACAAGAAAAAAACAACCCCATCAAAAAGTGGGCAAAGGATACAGACACTTTTCAAAAGAAGACATTTATGTGGCCAATCAATATATGAAAAAAAACCTCAGTCAACCCAAATGCCCCTTAATGATAAACTGGATAAAGAAAATGTGATACATATACACCATGGAATAATATACAGCCATACAAAAGAATGAGATAATGTTCTTTGCAGGAACATGTATGGAGCTGGAGGCCATTATCCTTAGCAAACTAATGCAGGAACAGGAAACCGAGTGTCACACATTCCCCTGAGAAGTAGGAGCTAAATGATGAGAACACATGGTCACTTAGAGGGGAACAACACATGATAAAGGGCCCTATTAGAGACTGGAAGGTGGGAGGAGGGAGAAAATCAGGAAAAGTAACTAATGGATACTAGGTTTAATACCTGGGTGATGAGATAATACAACAAGCCCCCATGGCACATGCTTACCTATGTAACAAACCTGCACATTCTGCACATGTATCCCTTAACTTAAAAGTTAAAAAGTAACAACTTTTGTGCTTCAAAGGACACCTTACAGAAAGTGAAAGATAAACCACAGAATGGGAGAAAATATTTGCAAATAAGGGACCTGAATCTAGAATACATAAAGAACTCTTAGAACTCAATAATAAAAAGACAAGTAACTCCAATTTAAAATGGACAAAGATCTGAATAGGTGTTACTTCAGAGAAAATATACGGTTGGTCAATAAGCACGTGAAAAGGCACTCAACATCATTAGTTTTCAGAAAAATACAAATCAAAACCATAATGAGATAACCCCTAACACTTACTAGGTTGGCTATAATTTTTAAAAAGACATAATAAGAAGTGCTGATGAGAAGATTGAGAAATTAGAACCCTTATGCACTAGTGGAGGAAATGGAAATGTAAAATGTTACAGCTACTTTGGGAAACATTCTGGGCATTCCTCAAAAAGTTAAACATTCAGTGACCCTATGACTCAACAATTCCACTTGTAGGTATATACCCAAGAGAATGAAAACATAGGTTCCCACAAAAACCTCTGCATAAATGTGCATAACAACTGCTTTGTAATAGCCAAAAAATGGAATCAACCCAAATGTCTGATTAATGGGTAAGAAATGCATATATAAAACAAGGTATAGCTATACAATGGATATACTCAAATACGTAAAGAAATAAAATTCTGACACATGCTACAATATGATGAACCTTCAAAACAGGCTAAGTGAAACAAACGAACACAAAAGGTCACATATTGTGTGATTCTATTCATATGAAATTTCCAGAATGAGAAAATCCACAGAGCCAGAAAGTAGATTAGTGGCTGCCTAGAGCTGGGGAAAAGCAGAGTTGGCTGCTAAGGGGTACATGGTTTCCTGTTTGGGTGATGAAAGTGTTTTAAAATTGACCATGGTGATGGTTGCACAGCTTCGTGACCACACTAAAACCATTTAATTGTACACTTTTTACTGTGTGAATTATATCCCAGTAAATCTGTTATGTAGAAAGGGATATATTACCAGAATTCCAAGGTTTTTAATAAAATGCACCTGGCTTTATTTAAGCATCACGTTAAGGGGCTCTGTTACCTGTGAAAGAGCTGACGATATGGAGGACTAAACCTACTTTGGGATAAATACACATTTGCTGAGCAAGGAATTCTACAAGAACTCTGGGGGAAAAATATTACATAGTTTTATTCCCAGAGTTGAAAACTAAACATTAGAGCTACACTGTCCAATATGGTGGCTACTAGCTAAATTTACATTTTATACTTAAATTTACTAAAATTAAATAGAATTCAAAATTTGGTTTATCAGTTGTACTATCCACATTTCAAGTACAGATGCTCTTCAGCTTACAGCACAATAAAAGCATTGTATTTGAAAATACCGTAAATTGAAAATGCATTTAGCACATCTTCTGCGTGGATCTCTGCTGGCCAGCCAGAATACCTGTTGTTCTTAGTATCAGAGCGGTTGATCTGTGCAAGGGAAAGAAGAGACACTACTTTTCTCCTCCGAAGTTCTTTAAAATGTGTGATTATTAAATGTAACCTTGTCTGGGAGGGCTCAGTGTATGTACATAAACAACCATAATATCAAGGATTGTAAGGCTTCTTCTACGTTTCATTTTTATTTATAGGTAAAAATTAACTCGAAATAGCCTGTAAAGAGTTAGGTATGCTCAGCTTACTTTCAACGTGCTAAGAACACTTACAGTACCCTCCATTTGGGCAAAATCACCTAACACGAAGCCTATTTTACAACAAAGTGTTGAGTGTTTCATGGAATTTATTGAACACTGGACTGAAAGTGAAACACGGAATGGTTGTGTGGGTCCCAGGAGTATAATTTCTACTGAATGTATTGTCTCCTTTGCACCACTGTAAAGTCAAACCACTGAGTCAGGACCATGTGTACTCCATAACCAAGTGTGGCTGGGGCTACTCCACTTGACAGGTGGATTATGGAACATTTCCATCATTGCAGAAAGTTCTAGAGTTGCATTAACACCTACTTCAAATATTATTAAGAAACGGGTATAAATATATAATTAGAAGAAATAAGACCTAGTGTTCAATAGATCATTAGGGCAACTATAGTTAAATATCATCTATTGTACATTGCAAAATAGAGGAGAATAATTTGAATGTTCCTCTCATAAAGAAAAGGTAATTTAAGGTGACGGATATCCCAGTTAACCTGATTCGATATTTACACATGATATGGATATATCACATTATCACATATATCCCCAAAATATGTACATTTTTATATACTGGGGCCAGCAATCGCTGCCTGTTATATATCAATTTTAAAATATATTATTAAGAAATGTATCTTAAATCAAACACCCAGCTTAGGCTGGAGCAAATCCAAATCTAGGAAGTGGTTGTGTTTGCATGATTCCTCACAGCTCACACTGATTAAATACTTTATCATGAGATTAATGAATAAATAAAATTCTTCTTTCCCTTGCACAGATCAACCACTCTGATACTAAAAACAACAGATATTCTGGCTGGCCAGCAGAGATCCAGATAGAAGGCTGCATACCCAGAGAACCAAGCTGACACTCCAGGGCCCTTAATAAATGTATTCTGTATAAACAAGTGCAGCTGGAATCACTCAATAATCTTATTTTTCTAAATCCAACAGTCCAGATGTGATGACAATTTTGGGTTTGTAAACCAATGGACATTTGCTGGTTGTATCAACTCTTGACATGCAGTATTTTCATCCCAGTATTTTGTATAGTGAAGATGTCAATTAGCAGGAAATGAAAATGAATGGAAATTCTTAAAGGGAAGGATGCGATTCCAGCTGGACAGAGGGTCAGGAGAAACGGCTTCTTCAGGTGAAGCCTGTTGTGGTCAGATCTAGGTGTGACCCCTGTGTGGTCCAGACAGCTCTGCAAAGAGAAAACCTTTATTCCATTATCACCAAGGACATCCTGGTTTCCGGCAGTCATCTCCTTCTGCTGGGAGAATTAGCGGCCGCTCTGAGGGCTTAGGTAATGTGCTTGTTCAAGTCGAGCTCTTGAACTGGTCCTGCCTGTGAGTGTATTCATTCATTCCATGACCCTGGGTGCCGCCCACCTCTGACAGCAGGGGTACGTGAGTGAACCAGACACAGTCTCTGCCTTCGTGCCAGGCTGTTGAGCAGGGTCAGGAGGGAGGCGCTGCTCTCGGGAGGAAAACTGAACACCTCACTCTCTAGAAGACGCAGTAATAGATCCACAAGTCCACACGTGCTGAAATGGGGGGTCAGACGCAAACCTCGGGTAACTGGAGAGAGGCCTGGAACAGGGTGTCCCCTAGAGACTTCCGAGGCAGCACAGCCCTCCTGACACCTCGATTTGGATTTCCAGCCTCCAGAGCTGCAGGAGCACAGACCTCTGCTGTTTAGGCTACTCAGGTGTGGTTCTTTGTGATGGCAGCCCCACAAAAACGAATATAGGCCCTTATTATAAGTGCTAAGCTCCTAGGAATGCAGACATTTTTGTGTATATATTTTTTAAAAAAAGGAGGAAAGCACGTTTTTATTCAGGCTGAAACTGCTATATTTTTGTAGCATCGCTGATCTTAATTCACTATCATGGAATAGGCCTCAGGGGCACTCCTGGCCAGGCATCGCCCAGGGATCCGGCTTTGGGCGGTGAAGTTCTTGTGACAGTGGCCCCTCCTACCCAGTGGTGGCCCCTCGGCTCTCTGCTGCCCCTGCAGCTCACTGCTGTGTCCCCACCCAGGGCACGGAACTATGAATTGCCATTCACATCCGCGTCCCGCTGATGTTTCCCCACAATGTGGTCTTCAGTGTGGAGACTGTCATTCCATCTCTGAAGGCACTGGGCACTGCCAGCCCCCAGCCCAGTCCCCCACTGGTGGACACCAGGCAAGGGGACTGTCCACATAAGAATCACATTCCCTTCCCAATGTGGACCCTGCTGGTCACCCCTCACATCCGCCCTGTGACAGGGTCATGATGATTTAAGCCACTGGAGCTGATGTGGCACAAAGAGGTAAACACCAAAGAGCCAGGCCAGGCGCAGTGGCTCACACCCGCATTCCCGGCACTTTGGGACGCCAAGGTGGGTGGATCACTTGAAGTCAGGAGTTCACGACCAGCCTGGCCAACATGATGAAACCCCATCTCTACTAAAAATACAGAAAGAAAATAAGAGCTGGGCGTGGTACCGCATGCCTGTAATCCCAGCTACTTGGAAGGCTGAGGAGGGAGGATCCCTTGAACCCGGGAGACGGAAGTTGCAGTGAGCCAAGATCTCACCACAGCACTCCAGCCTGCACAGCAGAGCAGGACTCCATCTCAAAAAAACCAAACCAAGGTCACATGGACGATGAGAGGGTGGAGTTCCACTCCAAGGTGCACCCCCTGCTCCTGTGCTCTGCGGGGAGGGACGCACCCCAGGTGAGAACTCTGCCTGTAGCATTTTACTGTTTCCTTTGTCCTGTTAATCCAGGGAAGCATTTGCTTGATCTCCTGGGATTGGAGAGGCCGTGGGAGAGTGGGTGCACGGCGGCTCTAGACGGCTCCAGGTGCTTCCAGGTGGCCAGGGACTTCATCCACACACAGGGTCTGGCTGCCATACAGTCAGTGTGGCAGGGCAGACGGTGGGCACTGGGGCTTCTGGACCTCACCTCTTTATCACGCTGCACACTGTAAAGCTCCCTGATGTGGAGCTGAGGGAAGAGCCCTGCCTGGCAGCTGTGACAGAGGCCTGCGCGGCGGCATCTTTTCCCTCCTCGGCCCCTGCTCTTGGATACTGTGTAGGACATTCCTTCATCCTCAGCACTTAGTGCTCAGAACACAAGGAACCCTGGCCCTGAGGTTTGCGTGTGCAGGCACCTCTGGTTCTTCCCGGGGCTGCCGGTGAGGGGCGTGCAGGAGAGGAATGCTGCCTTGACAGAGGGAGGACGGTCCCCTCAGCTGGCCTGAGCTGCTCGTGTCCCTCTGTCCGGCTTCTCTGAGGCCTTTCTTCCTTGAAGCAGTAGACTGGCCCAGGCCCTGTTGTGAAAGACATTCCTAGAGAAACCAAATGCCATATCACCCTGCCAAGTCTGATATTGAAATTCCTCCCCTCACTTCTCAGCCTCTGTCCTGGGCTCTCAGCAGGAAAACTGGTTTGGGGACAGGTGACCCTGACGGTATCAGTATTGCTAATGCCAAGGTTTTGAAAACCATTTTTGAGTCTCTACACATGTTCTTTAAAGCTAAGCCCTCAAGGGACGTCACTACAATGAATTAGCAAAGAGGTGCTCAGGATTATTTTTTAAAATGTGTAGTGTTGATTTTTGCTTGGGAGATGATCGTGGGTAGAAAGGAGAGCTGAGAGCCTGCTTCCTCCCTCCCAGCATCCTGGAGGGGCTTGGCCCCCTCCCCGGGGTCTGGAGGGCCCCTCCTGGAGGTTCCCAGACCTCTTGGCTCTGGTGGTGGCAGTGCCTGGCCATCCTTGACTTTGGTCACAGAGCAGGAAGCCTTAGGGACCATGCGGTTGTGCACTTTCACTTTTACAGGTGAAGTAGCTGAGGACGTGCAGCCAGCTGGGGCCTAGGTCCGGAGCCTGTGTTTGTCCTGGGGCCTCCTTATCACCAATGGCAAGAAAGCCATCTTGTTTATGAGCCAGGGATCTCTAGCACGGGAGCTTGCAGAAAGCTGTGGACCCCCCTTCTTTGAGTTTTCCACACCTAACGAGGAGAGAGGTGACATTTGTTAGGTGTGGCTCAGGCATGAAGCTAAAGGACAGCTCAGCCCATTCAGATCATGCACCTGAGACCACGTCCTCTGGCTGTAATGGCACTGCCTCAGTGAGGTCCTACATGTGAGCCACACACAGGGATTCATTCAAATCACATGGAGTTCGAAGTCCAGTTCCTTGATCGCAGTACTCACATTTCAGAGCACACAGGTAGTACTGGTCACTGGTCGCTGCTACGGCAGAGCCTTCCAGTGATGGAGCCACTCTGAGCTGCCCCGATGCCAGCCTCCCCCAGAATCTGTTAGCAATGCTGATTCTCAGGCCCCATCCAGACCTGGTGGATCAGACTCTCAGGGTGACGGGGGAGCCGGGGGCAGCCACCCCTCTCCACAGCTCTCCCAGGATTTGGATGGAGCTCGAGTATGAGAACCACGGTCTGAGTCATCTGGAGAGCACACATTGAAAATTCAGTTTCATTTCCGTGGCCAGATCAAGTAGTTTCATTTCTCTCCCTGTTAGTCTGTGACGGAGCAGGGGAGGGAGTGGTTCACATGCCACATAAAAATGAGGCAGAGGAAAGGGAAGAGATGATTTGCCGGGTCTCTGTCGTGAGCCTGCAGCGGTAAGAGCGGGGCCAGTGCAGGGAGGGCTGCTTTGTGTTTAATGCATGGCAGATGCACCTTTAAAACCTTTCCTGAGTGACATGACATCAGCCAGGTGAACGTGGCTTGTGCTGGGAGGCAGGAGCAGTCAAGATAAGATTCTGACGCTGCCTCTGGTGTGAGACGCAGAAAGGGCCCATGCTGGCTTCAGTCCACAGCAGCCCTGTGCACAGAGAGAGGCTCTGGAGGGGAAGTGGCTGGCCCTGGGGGCAGGGTGGCCTCTATCCTGATCTGGCCAAAGGTGGTGGTTTTAGGACAGCTTTGCTCAGTGTCCTACAAAGTCTGCGGGTTAAGGAGCTTCAGGTATTCCTTCTCTTGTGGTATTTGTGATGCTCTGACATGACTTTGGTGATGGTGATATGCTGGGAAGTTGGCTGTCATGGGGCAGGGAGGGGCAGGGCAGGGGGTGGTGCCTGATTTCCAGCATTTGCGGATTCTCTGTTCTCATGGTGTGATTGCCCCACTGTGGCCAGTTCCCAGCAGTAAGGGCCAACTCCAGCACTCTAGCCCACTGCACCCTGGATCACCCATACTCTGGGGGCTGAAATTCATTTAATAATTGATGCAGACCAGAAAGGAGACATGGTGGTATCGATGACGCCTTTTTTTTTTTTTTTTTTGAGACAAGTTTTCGTTCTGTTCCCCAGGCTGGAGTGCAGTGGCGTGATCATGGCTCACTGCAGTCTCAAACTCTCAGGCTCAAGGGATCCTCCCACCTTAGCCTCCCGAGTAGCTGGGACTACAGGTGTGTACCACCACACCTGCTTCAATTTTTTCTGTAGAAAAAAAGCACCCAAAGCCTTGGGATTACAGGCGTGAGCCATCTGCTTGGCTCTGTTGACACCTTTTAAACACTGTTTTTTCTTGTTTTGTGTTTAGAATTTTGTCTCTAGCAGTTTACAACGAGCTCTCTGTCCTCACACCTCTTCCCTTTCACTCTGCCCTACCTCCCACCCCCACCCACCCCCGAAGCACTTTTGACTCCCTTCCCACGTGCAGTCTTCTTTTCTTCTGTTGTCATCGTTTTCTTTTTTGAGACAGAGTCTTCCTGCTCTTTTTCCCAGGCTGAGAGCAGTGGTACCGTCATAGCTCACTTCAGTCTTAAACCTCTGGGCTCCAGTGATCCTCCTGCCTCTGCCTCCCATAGCGCTGGGATTATAGGTGTGAGCCTCCACCCACGGCCAGGATGTATGTGAGCTTTATTCGGGTTTGGCCCCTGCCCTAGAATGCAAGC